TTTAAGAAATTGTTGCTCAGGTTAGTTAAAGTAAAAAAAAGAAAACTACTATTTGTTAAAATAAGCATAATACTTATATTTATTAAAATAAAAATAATGCATTTTTTCCCCTATGTGCCTCAAATTATTTCATTAAAGTAATTGAATGTCATTCTATTCTTCTACCTTTAGAAAAATTTATAGTAATAAATCATCATGACTTAAAAATATGAAATCAAAGATTAATTTGAAGATCATTATACCCATCAAAACTCAATTAAAGTTTAAAAACTTTTGTTTTATAGCACGTGCAAATACCAAAATTCTAGTATCACTTTAAAATTTTCACTTAAATGCATTTTAACTTTCTCATGCGCGCTTTCAGATTAGCATTCAACTAAATAACGTGCAACTTCTTCTAAAGGGACCATGCTGACATAAATAAGATATATAGAGATAATTCATCTTGTAGAAAGCTTTAGTCTTTAGATAATCTAAATCTTTGAGGCTGGGGGAAACAATCTTCTATCTACTTGCCTCGAATCCATCAAAACGAATTAAGTAATTATATGATATTTTTATATCAATCAAATGTTAAGTACGCAATACAAACGGGGAAATTGTAAGTACATACTCTTAGATCCAAGATTTCCCTTTTTTTTTAAATGTTTGGGTCATGTAAATTCTTAGCCTATTAACCACTTCTAGTAAATTTTAAAGCTATTCGTCATAATTTTTCGGTAAGTATTGCTTGGCTAAAATACCAGATTGGCATTTTAAATGGACCCTAAATGACAATAGAGTATGTAAAATCAATTTTTTGGAGATCAATTTTCCAGCCAAGTTCCCTCACGTGCTTGCATGTGATCTGTAAAATCAATTATTCTATTGCTGATGTGGCAGGACTTGCCTCTAGTTTGTTAAATTCCATCAATCAACACCCAAGTTAGGGTTTATAATTCAATTAATTGATGATAAACACCATATTAATCATCCTTCTCCACAAAAACCAAACTCACAAAGAAATCTCTCAAAAGTTTGAGAGGAGTCTTACCTTTGCTCCTGGTCGATGCCGTACTCAAGTCATCATCCTCACTAGAGATTCTCCTTTCTCTCAAGTCACATTCAAAATCAGAGAGATTCCTGTAAAAGCTCTCCTCCAACTGCTCACTCTCTCCGTCTCTCGTTCAAGTTTTTTTAAAAGGGTGAATTTCGCTAATTTTAGGGTGATGATATTTTAAGCATAGTTATTTCTCCCTCCTGCCCTTATGTCATGTCATTCTTTATTGTCCAACTCAGCCCACAATGATCATTGATCACGCAGCAAGCATGTGAGATAACTTGACCGGAAAATTGATTCCCGATGAAAATTATAGGTTTTGTTATTTCTTTTGAATAATTATAAGGTCTTATTGTAGTCGGAGCTATTTAAAATATTCTAGCTATTATCATTTAGGGTCCATTTAAAATATCAATCTGGTATTTTAGCCAATATTGCTTCTACTGGCTAGGCTACTGTTACACCATTTTGATACCTACTTATTTATTTACACACATAGACACGTATACCCATCAAATCTTCATAGAAATAGCATTTAGTCCAGAAATTTGCTTGATACGTCACATAAATTTCACTGTGCAACATAACATAAAGAAAAGGGGAAGGAAAGTAATTATTAAAGCCAAAGGAAGAAAAAGGAAGCCAAGGAATCAGCGCAGTTGAAAATTTCGCAAGAGGAGAGGACGACTAGTCAAAGAAAACGACCACGCGAACAATCATACGTTTACTATGACTTCTGCACTGTGTTGGTCAACTCTGTACGGCAACTTTTTTTTTTTTTTTTTTGATCGCCGGCATGGTCAACTCTGTACGGCAACTTTTTTTTTTTTTTTTTTGATCGCCGGCACCACTTACGTAATTTCTTCTCTGATTATGCGTCATCAGTTGTAAAATTAGATAATATAATTAGATGATCATCTTTTATCTTTTTAACCTAGTCCTTTAATTGGGATCACCTTTAATAGGTAATGGTTAGTGTTTCAACTTTACATCCAAGAAGGGCATGCATTAATTTATGGTTTTATGGTTCTTGATTTGAAGTGACATTTATGTACTATATCAACTGTATGCATCGAATTTATTTAGAGGCTGTTTGGATCGGTTTTTTTGATGGGTAAAAATAGAGAAAGCTGTCAAAAATATCAGCTTTTTGACGGCTTTCTCTCCTTTTACCCATCCAAAAACCGGAACCAAACGGGGCATTAGTTCCTCTTTTGTCAATTAATTTGGACTTTCCAATCAGGATCCTAATGCTTCTTAAATTCACTTCTTGTCTAGGGTGTTTGGGATCGAGTACGGGGAGGGATTAGTATGGACTTGTTTTGCTTTTGAAATTTGTATGAGATATCTAGAAAAATAAAAACATGCTGTCCCTTTTTGAGATCTCAGGAACGATAACACACTCGATCGTGAAGAAATCAATCTAGAAGAAGTAATGTAATGTAACAGTTTAATATTCAAAACCATCCGGCTGGGCCGCCCGCCGGCAAAACCGGGCCCAGGTTGGGCCAAAACGGAGCCCGGACCCGGCTCCGGGCCGGGACGTTTTTATTTTCTTTTTTTCTTTTTTTTATAAAAAATAGTTTAAAATTATTATATTTGATAAAAATTATGTATTAGTATATACTATACAAATGTATGTAATTATATATATATATACATATATTATATATATAATAATATTGTAAATATTTATAAGTATAACTGATAGAAGAGAATCGCCCAATTAAGTAGCCAATTGCCCGTTGGGCAATGGCGAAAAAGTAGCCGCTTTTGTAATATACATACTTATATATCTAGATACTAATGAGAGAGAGAGAGATATACACATCACAAATTATACAGTATATAAGAGAGAGTATACTAATATACATATATATTAACGAGAGGAATTATATATATATATATAATATTATATATATAAATTATATATTTATATATATATATATATATAATATATATAAATATATATATACACACACACATGTATTATACATATATAAGGATGTATACTTATACTTATACTTATATAGAGAAGTATACTATAGTATACATATACTATAGAAAGAGTAGTATATATACATACATACATACATTATACATATATAAGAGAGAGTATTCTTATATATACTTATATAAGAGAAAGTATACTTATATATACTTATATAAGAGAGAGTATACTTATATACTAAGAGAGAGTATATATATACACACATATTATACATATATAGAAATATATTATATATACATATATTATATATATATACATATTTATACATATATAAAAATATATTATATATCACTACAAGAAATTACGTCTTTAACGAAGGGATTTCCCTTCGTTAAAGAGCTGAAAACCTTCGTTATTGTATGCTAACGACGGGGAAAAATCCCTTCGTCACCCGTCGTTGAAGCCCTCTTCGCTAAAGGGTCACGAAGGGATATACTACCCGTCGTTATAGAGTCTATAACGACGGAACATATTACCGTCATTAATATTTACGACGGTAATTATCACCGTCGTTACCATCAGTAACGGGGATATTTTCCCGTCGTTACCATCAGTGACGGGATATTTTCCCGTCGTTACCATTAGTTACGGGGATATTTTCCCGTCGTTACCATTAGTTACGGGGATATTTTCCCATCGTTGAAGACTAATTAATGACGGTTGGATACCGTCGTAAAAGTTCTCATAATGTGTAATTAGTAACCCATCAACGACGGTGCTTTCCCTTCGCTGATGAACAAAATACGGTTTATAAAACCGTCATTGTAGACTACAAATTTGTAATATACATTAATAATAAATTTTTCATTCATAGGTAACTATCATATTATTCTCAACCAGACACTAAGATTCACAACAAAGACATATTAAAAATACCCAATAATGAATAAGAGGTAAAATAAAAATTCCATTCATTAATAACATCAATAAATAAAATTACACCATCCTCAAATATTCAATACTAATAACAAGAGTTAATATCCTAATCGTTCCAAAGAAAAATACATGAAACTATCTAAAACAAATTAAAATAAAAGTTTGGGGAAGACACATCTCTGACACCTCTAATCATCGTCAAAAGAAGACTCGAGCTACCCCACCTCTCCTAATCTTGCATGGATAGCCTGAAAATTTTAAAAAATCACATAATTAAGAAATATTAATGAAGCAAATATTATCTTATTAAGTAAAAATCATATTTTTTTAGTGCAAGTAGTCAATCATAAAAGTATATAAGAGATTTTACAAAAAATAATTACCTAGTCCTGCACATGTTCTCGAGTTTGAGGAGTCAATGAAGGTGATTGCCTAAAAAAAAGTTCTTGCATAGCTTTCACTTGTGACTCCAACTCAGACATCCTTTGTTGTTGTTGCTCCTGCTCATCTAAGCGTTGTTGAAGCATCTGATTCTTTCTCTTTTCTTCTATAACTCGTGCTTCCAGATCAGACCGACTAGGGAGTGGTCCTCTCAAATCTTTCAAAGTAGTCCCGCCACCAAATACAGTAATGTGACCATGAGATTGCTTCCCCCATATTTTCTCAACTATCTCAATGTCAGAAAGTGAAGGGTTTGCTTGTTTGACTTGAACAATTTCATCCTATAAAAATTAAATTCATATGTTAGTACTATATAATGCATCATTATCAAACTTAAACACATATTCTACTTACATATTTATCTTGATCCCCATTTTCTAGTGTTTCATTAGCTTTCTTTCGAGTTTCATGAAACATTTTTGCCACATCAGGTGGATTTCCTGACTTGCCACCCTTATTCAAATATTAAATAAAAATGAGTACAACATCAAACTAAAAAACAAAGTAGTTATAAATAAATAAGAAATTAGTTTTGAATGTATACCAATTCCCACGCAATTTGTCTAAAGGGTTTGCTGCCCATGTGGTGGAGCATCTTTCTTTTGCCTTTGTTAAGTATATTTTGTTGGCTTGCTTTCTTTTGCCTCTGTTAAGTGTATTTTGTTGGCTTGCTTTCTATACATCAAGATTAAAAGATAATTTCAACAATCCAGCAATATACATGGACAAAATTAACAAAATTAGGAGATTAATACCTAAAATTTTGAAGAAAAATAATGTTCTTTATTTAGCCAATCCCAGTCATCAACACTCACTTCTGTAGGTTTATTTCTAAGTGCAACTTGCAATGAATTTTCTTTCACATATTTCCTGTGCATGTCACCACGCCACTTATTCCACAAATCGCGCAAGTGTCTTATTACTAACTCTCTCTTTTGCTCCATGTCCTCAGCATCAAATTTATCCTATATCAAATTTGAATCAAAATTTAATTTATAAGAATTAAAAACCAAATGCAAAAAATTAATTTTCAATGTACCTTAATGGATGCCCACATATGATCTTTATTTTGTTGTGGTATTTTGGCCCAATTCTCAACAGCTACTGGGCAAATATTTCTATCTCGAATAATAATTCCAAGATATCGTGAAAATTCTGGTTCAATAGCTCTATTCTGATAAAAAGTAATAATCTTTTTCTCGCCATGTGACAAATTATTCAACTTTAGACACTTATTACTACCACGAGGTGGATTTTTCTTCCTTTGAGAATTATCAGCTGCATACATCATATCATATGTTAGAAACAAGATATAGGTAAAAAGAAATTGATAAAAATATTACTTCTTGTAATTAATAAAGAATATACCTTCTTGTCGAGATTCATTTAGTATTACATCATCACTTTGCACTCGATGATTATTTGATTCTGTAAAAAATTGGGCAATTATTAATCCAATCATAAAAAATAAATTGAAAGATAAAAAAGAAATAATAATAAATTTTAAGTCTCATCAACCTGCAGAATCATCATTCTCTTCATTGTTAGTATTTGCACTTCTCCTGCGATTTTGTGCAAAATTCTCCTCTTCAAAGTTTTCTAAATCAGCACTAAAATTTGTACCCATATTTTGATCTTGTATTGGATTTTGAATATTCAAGTTCTTGTCATGACAAGTACGGAGTTGTTCCCTTCTTAATGAATTTTCTGCAATTGCTTGAAGTCGCTTCCTAATTAATGACCTGGGTGCTAGAAATTGTGCCCTTTTGCTTTTGGAAGTGACTTCTTAAGTTTTCATTTTTCTGCTATGAATAGGAATTTAAGTATCATACACTATGTATAAAACAAATGTCAAAAGAGAAATGAATAAAAAAAGAAATCCCCAAGGACAAGCATAATAATAAATACATAATACACTAATGTAGAAGCACTTGCTGCAATGTCAAAGCCACATCCAAAATATGAAGAAAAGAACATCATATGTCTAAAAAAGGAATAGTTATAGTGAAGATACAACTTAAATTTTATCTCAATAACACAATATCATTTGTGTTCTATTCTTTAATTAAAGCGTTCTAATTCTCTGCTTGAGTCTTTTTCCTCTTTTTTGAAGTTGAGACCGAATTTACAATAATTGGATCAATATCACTCCTTCTCAAATTGATATAATCATCTTCCAATGATGTTGATGCAATAGCCTGAGCATCAAATGATTCATCTTGCAAATAAGCTTCAACTCCATCGTCTGTTATCCCACAATCATCTGTATCTGGTGGCATATCATAGGAATCACGGGGTTGTGCTTTAAGAACTACATGCCAACCTTCATTGGCAATATCCTCAACATAAAAAACTTGTGATGCTTGGCCAGCAAGTATAAAGTGGTCATTCGTCTTTAGCAAGTGTCGGCAGTTAATACTGATAAATCCATATTTGTCTTCTTTCAAAGCGGTCCCTTTTCCTTTGCCGTGCACATCCCACCATTTACAACGAAATAGAACAACCTTTCTTCTACCAGGATACTCTAATTCGACAACTTCAACCAAAGCACCATAATAATCTATATCTCCACCATCACCAGCATCACCAACAACTGCAACCCCACTACTTTGAGTTGACAAACAATTATCTCGACTTTCTGTATGAAATCGATGTCCATTTATGACAAATCCAGTAAAACATTTAACAATCTTACTTGGACCACGAGATAGTGAAAGTAAGTCATCATCTTCTCGATAACTCTGATAAACCTAAACAAAACCAAAATATGATCAAGTCATGGAACATGTAATAAAATGAACCAATCAAGATATTTAAAAAATAAGGCAAGATATATACGTACTAGAGCTTGGAACCACTCGATAAAGTTCTTATCCCAATCTTTATCATCATAGTGATTTGTGGGTTCTCTCACGAATTCATTGTAGTCCCTACATTAAAATATCATAAATATGATTAACGTTGACTAACTATAGTAAATTTATTAGTAGAATCTTAAACTTTAGTGACTTACTCAATGTGTGGTTGCACTTCATCACAGTTCTTTAGAACATAAATATGAGCTTGCAACCACTCACGTTCATCAAGGTAGCGGGTGGTGGCAGCACCCAATGCCCGCCCACTATGTCTGAAAATAGATAGTTGTGCTTCATTACATTCTCTATTGTCATCTTCATAATTTCTTTCAAGGCGATTAAACTTTGTCTCGAAGCCTTTTAGATATCTTGAGCAAAAAGTCATGCATTCATCTGCTATATATCCTTCAGCAATTGACCCTTCTGGACGTGCCCTATTTCTGATATATGACTTATAAGTATAAAGCTGACGCTCCACTGGGTACATCCATCGAAATCGAACAGGCCCTCCAAGTATGGCTTCAGATGCTAAATGAACTACTAAATGCAGCATAACATCAAAAATTGAAGGTGGAAAAATCTTCTCAAGCTTACATAACGTAAGTGGAATCTGCTCATCAATTTGCTTAAGTTCATCCACCCTTAATGTCTTGGCACATAATATAGTGAAGAATATGGAAAGTTCAATAATTGCTTCACACACTTTTGCATGAAGAAGGCCACGAATCGATACAGGAATCAAGCGCTGCAAAAGAACGTGACAGTCATGACTCTTTAACCCCAAAATCTTACGCTCTTTAAGATTTACACATTGAGAAATATTGGATGAAAATCCATCTGGAACTTTTAACTCCTTTAGAAATCGACAAAATTTGCTTTGCTCTTCTTGGGATAAAGTATAACAAGCTGCTGGCATCACAAGTTTATCTCCTCTCTGGATTGGATGTAACTCCGGTTTTAAACTCATTGCTTGTAAATCGAGACGGGCTTTGATATTATCCTTTGTCTTTCCTTTAATGTTCATGATTGTTCCCAGCAGACTATCACAAATATTCTTCTCAATATGCATGACATCTAAATTATGTCGCAATAAGAGAGTTCTCCAATATGGCAAATCAAAAAAAATACTTTTTTTATTCCAATTATCTCCCCGTCTTTCGTGTGATATTTTAATTTTCTTCTCTGGATGATTGGTCAAGGTGATCCCTATAAGATCTTCCACCTGCTTAAGGATGTCATCTCCGGTCAGCTTCGGCGCTGCATACCCTCTCTCCCTAAGAGATATATACATAAATTTAGGGATGTCCAAAAAACTTATACATATCAGTATACTCTCTTATTTATGTATATATCTCTTATTTATGTATACATCCCTAAGTTTATATATTTATTTATACTTATTTATGTATATATCTCTTATTTATGTATACATCCCTAAACTTATATATATAAGAGATATATACATAAATAAAAGAGAGTATACTGATATATACTGATATATACTGTATACTTATTAGCGACAGAATTTCTGTCGCTAAAATTAAAAATTTTAGCGACGGAAATATTCCGTCGCTAAACCCTACTATTCCGTCGCTATATCTATTTTAGCTACGGAATAATAGCGACAGAATTTTCCGTCGCTATAAACTAACATATAGCGACGGAAAATTCTGTCGCTATTATTCCGTAGCTAAAAACTCATTTTCTACTAGTGACTTATATAAGAGAGTATACACTGTATACTTATATATATACTTATACATATATTATATATATAAGAGAGAATATACTTATATATACTTATATACTAAGAGAGAGAGAGAGAGAGTATATATATATATATATACATATATTATACATATATAAGAGAGAGTATACTTATATAAGAGAGAGTATATATACATTGTATACTTATATATACTTATACATATATTAAGAGAGCATACTTATACATATATATACTTATATAAGAGAGAATTTACTTATATGTAATTATATATATATATATTATATACACAATATATATACACATATACATATATTTTATATATACATATATTATACATATAAGAAAATAAAAAAAATAAATAAAAAATAAAAAAAGATACTGTTCCGGGCCGGGCCGGGCGCCGCCGACCGGGCC